GCTGCGTGTGTACGTGTTTCCTACGTATCTATTATGCGGAAACGGGGTTGAGGGTGTGGATAAACGATTCTTTTTTGTCGCAGCCTGCCACTTCTGGTGCGCGCGCGGAGCGACTACTCGGCGGCCTGCACCCGGTGCATCCTGAACGAAGGGTGCTTGATGAGAGAGAGATAGATCAGAGCCGCAGCGGCTGAAGTCGAAGGTGACAATGAGGGCGCAGCCGAGAATCGAGCTAGAAACGGGGAGGGAACCAGGGAATAGACTGCCTTCTGTGTACCTTTGAATATTTATACCGTTCTACCGGTGTTTTGTTGCTTTGTTCTAGCATTTCCCTTGTTAGCTGCTAATTTACATTGTTCTTAATTTTTCGTCTTCCAGCGGTTCTGAGGTTTTTGGGATCGAACGGTGACTGTCTTGAATATTTATACCATTTTAATTCAGTTCTACTGTCGTTGATGTTACTGCTTGTATTTCTCTCGTTTTTGTGTTTGATTGTTTTATTAAGTTTGTGGAGAGGTATGTAATTAGTACTGTGATTGTTTGTCTACTTTTAGTTGTTCTACTGTCGTTGCTTTGTCTCTGGTATTTCGCTTGGTACTACTTGTATTTTTCTCGATTTTCGTGTTTGATTGTTTTATTAAGTTTGTGGAGAGATGTATAACTAGTATTGTGATAGTTTGTGTTTGTCTACTTTTAGTTCTTTGGGTAGTTCGAACAGTTTGACTAAGACCTTTCGGCTGAGATCCTTCTGGATGGGAACAGAAAGTCGAAAGAATAATTTAGTACTGGAACTAACCATTCCATTCACTGAAAATTAGGATATCACAAGTGTACATTGCTGATTAGTTCACATGTTCACTACAATGGTAACTCTGCTACGGTCGATTACACATTCTAAATAATGCAAAAGCATCTTGAACGAGGAAACTCGTAACATAATCGTATTCAAAACTATTCAAAGAACGTAACAGGGTTGAATGCATCTTCTTCTGGAACACAAAAATAAAACTAAGGAACCTCATTAATTCCCAATGCTACGTGGTGCATGCAAAAAAGCAGTCTTCCTTCCAGAAGGACACTATCTACATTCTAAAAAATATATTTCTGTAACAAACTACAAAGCATTCGCTACTGGGACTTCAGTCCCTCGACAACAAACAAAGACTACGGTAACTAACACTCTGATCGTCAAACACCTAATTAGCTTACAACGATCAAGTCCTGTACAAAGTCCATGATAATCTTTAACCCTTAGAGCTACCGACAGATGAAATAGTTTACTATAACTTGTAAAGGTTTTATCACGTTGATATAAGTAATACAATTTTTATAAACATTTCTCGTGAGCCAAGTATTCCTCGGCAAAGTTGCATGGGAATTTCGGAAAGAATCTTAGCAATTACAAATGGTACTCAAAGGGTTAACTCGAATTTTCGTCTGAAATTATTAAAACACTTTTTTGTGTTTTAATAACTAAAAAATTATCGATCAAAATTTAGCGATCAAAGTGTTAGGATTCAAAGGTAAATGTTCCTTGCTTCTCCAGTGACGTCCGCTCGCGAAGCGTCCGAGAGCTGCGTCCTCTAGTAAGATTCTAACAAACGTTGAAGAGATGGTGTTTGTTTATATTAGATACCGAAGAAAGTGCGAGCTCTCAAATGAGAATTTAACACTAAGACTACCGAGTAATTAACCAGCTAACTGTTTTGACGAGTATACACGTCATCGAAAGGCTTGACATGATACTAATTCTTTCATGAATTCTTTATTTTTTCATAAACATGTAATTCTTCTTTGTTTCGCTTTGATCTTTCATTAAAATATACTCTACGCGCATTCGTCCTACGTTCGACGAGTGCACGCTCCATTTTTCGATTTTATTGCGCGCAGAACGAGAGGTATTTCCAACTAAATTCCACAGTTAACTGATTAAATAGACTTTTTGACGTTCCTCTGAATCTCCAACGGTGCATTTATCGAGACTTCAATGGATTTAACATTCAATTCATTGTTAAATCAATTTAATAGTTCCTCAGAGAAACATCCGTTACCTTTTTAGTAACCGACGAAAGAAGAAACCAGGAATGTGTCATTTTGACCTGTCCGCTGGTTTTAGTGTTGAACACAGAATCGAAGGTTTTCGAAAATAATTCTATTCCATTTGATAGCAACGGCATAAATACAACTTGCTGCTGATAGCAATTCCATTGATTGAACCAGTGAAATCTGATTGAAATCAGAGCCCAATTCAGTGCTAACAGGAAAGCCGCACGAACTTTATCCGATATCTAATACTTCCGATTGGTTACGTGTGACGCTATTGAATAGCAAATTAGTATCGGAAACGAGATGAGAAAAGATGTAAACTGCTCGCGATCAGACCTGCATCTTTCAGTCTACGCATTAAATGGTAAACAGCAATTAATCACTTGATGACTAGGCCGAGAAATGCAGATGCTATTAGTCAGTTCATGTCTTAACTCGCACTACTTTCTAATACAATTTCAGACCAAACATAAATGCCACGATTAAGACTGAACGTCAAAATAAATAAATTTATATTAAGTAATCCCACCAAAATTAAATCTTCAGTTAATTTAAACTTTTATACGCTCAGGCATGAAAGTTTAACGTCACTGTAACTTGAAAGTTACTAAATACATTCGTTTGATGGAATTATTGAAACTATTGAATATATTATTAATTCGTATTCATATGTGGATGTCTATTAATTTTGTACTGCATAGATTTTGTTATAATAATGAACAAAAATTCGGCCCATAGAGGGTTAAGATGCTCTTCGATAGAATCACGCGTAACCGATCGAAGTTACAAACAAAACACTCAAACCCTCGGCGAAAGGTCTCCGTTGTCCTCGTCTCACGCACCGGGCGATCTCCCAAAGCTGCTGTCTAGAAGGAAGCAGGCCCTCTCGGGAACGCTGTCGCGGTTACGGCAGTTACGGACACGTCACATCGATCAAAGGCGCACGAGGACGACGTGGCGAAGTACACAGAATCATGCAAGTTCGTGTTCGGGTTGCTAAAGCTACGCGCGGTGGATGGTCGTCTCGCAAGACGGCGCACAGAGCGGACGCCTGCGGGCAAAACTCTCAACTTCGACTATAGATAACGAAAATCGAAGATTATCGATACGTTGCTAGTAGTCCCTGCTATACGAAATGATTCTCATTTGAAAAATCAAGATTTTGTATTAATCAATTCTTCGTAATCCTTAGTAGCTTCTGTTTGGAGCAATTTGGTTGTCACTCGGACTTTTGAAATTCCGCTTTGCCCAGAAAATGGCCGTTTGGCCGCTCTATGGGCAAAACCTTGAAATTTGACCATTTAGACAACGAAACCTGAAGGTCACCAATGCGTTGCTAAGTGGTCTCTGCTACAAAATGATTTTCATTCGAGAAATCAAGATTTTTTCAATTCAGTTTCTTTATATATGTTGGAATCGGAACGCGAAATGTTTGAAAAAACCTCATAATGTCCCCGTAATGTAACAAAAATATAACCTCCATGGGTTTAACTGTGTACCTTACGACCTTTTGTCTAAAGTATTTTATTGTATCACTCATACTCTTGAAGTTATCGAGTTTTGCCCTGCGAACGGCCATTAGACCGCACTGTGCGCCGCGGTGCACATGTTTCAGCAACCGGCGTTTATTCGGTTCGCGGATAAAAAAAGAAATATAAATAAAGGAAACACACATATGAAGAAGAATAAGAAGAAGAAGAAGAAGAAGAAGAAGAAGAAGAAAGGAAAAGAAAGAAACAAAGAGATAGGGTCATGCGACTCACCAATGCCTGGGCGGCGCTCTGGTGCTGCAAGCAAGAAACACCCAGTTACAAAATCACAGTAACGACAATCGAGTAGTTGGTTTGTTGGCGATTCGTGATTTCGACAGGCGCATACTCGCATCCACGCACCCACGCACACGTTGCTGCACACACGGCTAATGCGGATGCTCGCGGCAAGCGTTTCAACATCGATAGATCGCTGTGCACATCGAGATTTGGAACGAATTCTTTTCATCTTCCTTGGGATGCTCTCGTATTCAAGCGTCTGGTTCTTTTCTTGGGTTATAATTAATCTAATTGGAGCATTAGATGGATGCAAGTTTGAGTGATGACTAGAGAATTTATTTTCTGTATCTATATCCTCGAGGATTTCCGTAACTTTAATGCTTTCGACATTTGTATTCAATTGAGAATATATTGGATTTTTGTAAGAATCGTTGTTATTTACTTTATATTACTGATGAATATGCGAAATTTGGAAAATTGTTACTTTTAGTGTAACAGTGACAATCTTGATAATATCTGTGAGTTCTCACTGTCAGAATTATTCATTAATAGCAACTCAATCTACTAAGCATCTAATTAATCTATGAAACTGTACTTTTAAATTATTCCAAGCAATCCCAAGGAAGTCAGCGAATTCGTTCCAACACACGCGGCGTCAGTAAGCCAGTCCGAAGGTCGCGGCGCTCGATCGACGAGCGAATGGACGGAGAGAAGCGAAAGAACTAGAAGAAGATCAAGACAAAAGAAGAACAAGACAGAGAACAAACCGAAAAAGAAGGGTGATCGTCAGCCTGTTAACCGGGGAAGTAACTTATATTACTTACACTAAAGTAATCGAAGAAAATCGTGTATCACTTGTCGATTATCTTTTTCGACAATGTGTTTCGTGATATATTTAAAAAATATCCAAGTCAAACGTTTCCAATATATAAATATACATTTCAATTCAGTTATATCCAATGTATAAATATACATTTCAGATCAATTATGTCCAATGTATAAATATACATTTCAATCCAATTGTATTCAACGTATAAATATACATTTCAATTCAATTGTATTCAACGTATAAATATACATTTCAATTCAATTGTATTCAACGTATAAATATACATTTCAAATATATTCAATGCATAAATATACATTTCAATTCAATTATATCCAACGTATAAATACACATTTCAACTCACTTGCATTTAAAAATGTCTACTGAAGTTGTCTTCCTGGCACGACGAGATATTTCGTCGCGTCCGGTTAACAGGACACAGGCGGGAAAGAAGATGGCGGCGTGAAGGGGTGTAGGTCGAGAGAAGACGAAGAGAAAAAGAGAAGAAGGAGGCGGAATCCTTGAAAACTTACTTTCAATCGTGCGAATAATTGCGACCTTCGATCGATAACTCGACTCAGAGGCCGCTCCCTCCCCCTTCAACCTTTCGCTCGGGTTCCTTTCTGTTTCTCCCTCGCGACAACTCGCGAGCTCGCGAGCCAAGGGGCGGCGGGATTAACAAGTGGCGTCGCTCTGCAGTAATTACGAGGCTGGACGGGGATGACGATCGCGGGATCATCGATCGGGATTCGGGGAGTAATTGAGGCGAACCGATCGATGGGACTCGAATGTTTGAGGAGATTCGAAACTGATGGTTTTTCACTTTGTTTCACTTTGAACTTACATGCCATTCAGCGAATGTCACTTTTAACCCTTTGCGCTCGAGAGGCGACCCACAGTCGCCATTTGCTTTGACGCAGTACAATTCCAAAGTCTGATATTCAATATTGAAATCCATTTAACGTAATTATCCATGATACGTGAAAATAGAATAGTTCTATCCCTTAATTTATATATTATTCATATTAATATTGTGGGAATGGATGTATTTGAGTGTGTGAATAGATGTATTGATGAGTGATGAATGTCTGTGCAATAGATGAATGACGCGACTGTGCGCGTTTTGAATGAATGTTCAAAGCATTGGAATATTCTAGATTATATTGATTTTTATGTTAATAATGTTCGTTTTTTATGAATCTAGAATATTCCAAATATATGTGAAGTTAATGCATGGCAATGGAAGAATGTTCTAGAAAGTGTGTGAGCGAGACAAGAGCATCTGAGTATGTAAATAGTGTGTGCGTTGTTTCATTGAGTTAGTGTTTTATTGTAGGTTCTCAAGAAATAATCATACTGTTTCTGATAAAGACAATATTAATTATAAAACATATCATTGATATTTCATTAGAAAATCAGGAATCTAGCGAAACAATCCTCGAGTGCAATGGGTTAATTTCTGCTTTGGACGATGTCTGTCCTAAGTGACCGCAATCGAAGAATTCAACCGGTTGCGGACGAACAAACCTTATATTCTGCTAATTAATTTATTAAATAATAGAGTCAGGAAACTACGCACTGATCTCCTGTTTGAGTAGTTCAATCAGTTCGCTACCTGGTATCCCAAACATGGAAACTTAATTACATAAAGAAACAAAGAATTTAATCGCATATTATATTTTTATACAACGCATCAACGCGTGGAACATAAAAAATAAAATAAAAAAGTTAATAAAAAGTTAAAAGAAATAAAATAGTTCTGTTCCTTAATTTACGCAAGGTGTTTCTTTACGTCAGTCGTAAAACGTATCGTTGATATTTCATCAGAAAATAACGAGTATTTCTCGAGAAAAATATTCTCGAGTGCAAAGGGTTAACTCTGATATTAGATCCACAAAGAACGAACGACTAAATATTATCTTCCGCGAACACGCGTCGAAGAGTGTCGGAAGACGGAGACAGCGGAAAGAATGACGAGTCATGTGGATGAACGAAGGAACGACGAGGGTTCAGTGGTAAGAATAACAGGTCAAAGTGCATAGCACGGGTTACATAACGCGAGGAAAGTTTCTCGCCTGTTAATAAATACTGAGTACACACAGTCGTCGCGGATAAGCTTCGTTCGACCGAACTCCGCGCGGATTTCGCAGCAGGAAGAGAGCTCCCGCTTTTTTCCCCCCTGAAGATCTCGCGAAACTATTAACACAATCTCGACGGCCCCTAAATTTCCGGATTTCCGTCCTCAATTACCGAGTTTCGCCGGCAGTTTCGGTTACTCTCGGATCGCTATTTGCGTTAGCTTTTTCGCGGCTCGGAGGAACTTCGTTGATGAGCAAAGGGTCGGCGGCTGGGGAAGGAGGACCGGCTCGAGAGACCGTGGATCGGTATCGCTTAACGCGTCGAGTGCGGCGCCGATTTCGCTGTACTTTCCGCTCAGGCGGCAGCGCGCGAGCATTCGATGCCGAACGCTGAACTAGACCGCGCGACGCGGCGCAACGGACGATTCCTTTTTTTCAGTTTCTTTTGTCGTTTGCACTGTGACAATGGTGCAGGCGATGCACACGTATGCAATGTATAAACTTAAGATAATGGGGTGGGGGACGCCAGAGAGACAAAAGTGCGAACACCAAGGAACGATCGGTCTGAAAAAGCCACGGGAGTACGCTGAATTTTAACATAAATTTTTTCGTTGTCATTAATAATTTAACCCTTTGAAATGCTGGTCTCGTGCACCGACGTCGACCGAACGAGAAGTTCGCTGTCAGTCCCTAAAATCCACGCCGCCCAAATGGAAAGTCTACTGTCGGTCCCCAGGGACTGACGCCGCTTGAACGGAAAGTTCACTGTCAGTCCCTAGAGAGACTGTCAGTCCCTCAGCGTGTTAACCACTTGTGTCGGAACTTAATCGACGACAGTGTCCTCCGAATACGTCTGTTTGTGCTCTCGAATGTAAAGGGTTAACCCCTTAACGCCACAGTTTCCTTGAAAAAACCGACAAAGAAAAATCGACTTTAATATACTGCGTTTATGTTCCATGAGAAAAGGCTATATTTTATTCTTGAATAACTAAGTGTTATAGCTCACAGTCTCATGCAAATGATAAATATCAACGATTTTTTTTCTTTGCTTTCGCATTGTTATTTTCACGGTTTGGCCTGTTTAGCGTGCTGGAATTAACTCGAGCAAGGTAAGGGGTTATTAATAATGAGTTGAAAACAATGTTTCACGGATTCCACGCTCGAACATACTACGTTCGCAAGATTCCCAAAAGCTCCCCATTATTCACTTCACACACTCTTATTTTCTTTCACAATTTCCTGTCGCTTGCGAGAACAGCGGAGCGTTTCTTTTTGTAACGACAGTTTGAGTAATGCTTTCAGCTGTTTTGCCTGGCTTATTTCGTTACTGCTGATGCGTGATAAGTTTTTCTAGAGTGCTGACTTTTTCTCGGCGTTGCTCCGCTCGGGATAAACGTGCCTCTTATCGCTGGGTTCACGGAAGTTTAATCTATGCTTTATTCTATTGTTCCTAGAAATTTGTGTCTTCTTTCGTGCATCGAGATTGTAGCTTGGAAAGTGAATGATTGAAATGTTCGAGTAATTGATTCGAAAGCGACTTAAACTGCTACTAACCGTTAACCTATAACCTTTGAAACATCTACTATCCGTCAAATCGACGAGTTCTGTAAATCTAGTGTTAATTAGCGTGCGAATGGTTAATAGTTCTAAAGAAAAACTCAAGAGTGCACAGAATTCAAATACAAGAACTTCTATTACCAAGTTAATTAATTTTATAATTTCGTGATATGTCAGCAACTCCTATCAATTTTGATAATAGTCCTACTGAAAATTAACAATATTATAACATTTCTTAGACCTTTGATTCCCTTCTCAATAACTTTGTATATTTGGAAGATCTAATAATCTTATGGTAGTTTTCTTAAAATCCATTAAAATATTTGATATTAGAACTGGTGCAATATTGGAGCCTACAGATTTCAAAGGGTTAACTTGTAGTAAGTAGCAGTAGCAAGTTGTCTCGAAAGTTGTTTTACTGGAAATATTCGAGATCTTCCGACGAGATACAGACGACGTTGAACCGAATCTGACGATAATTCACAGATAGATTAAGCAACGAAGATATTTTACTTAAATATTTCACGTAGCAATGCAAAGTTTAATTTAAAGTACTA